TCGGTTACCCTTAGGGAACATTCCAAGTCACGCAGCACCAAAGTATGTTAGCAGCAGTGAGTTAGTATGGGTCTGCAGCAACCTCAGTTCTTGCCTCCTCGGAAGAAAGAATTCAATCAAGGGGCATAAGACACAGAGAGACTGAGGCAAGTTTTAGAGCAGTTGTTAAAGTTTATTTAAAAGCTTTTGAACAGGAATGAAAGGAGATAAAGTACACTTGGAAGAGAGCCAAGTGAGTCACTTGAGAGATGAAGTGTCCGGTGTGACCTTGACTTGGGGTCTTATACGTTGGCATTCCACATGCATAGTGGCCTGCCAGCGCTTGGGAGGGGCTGCATGTGCATTGTGTTTACTGGAGTTGTACGCATGATCATTTCAGGCGTTCTTCCCTTACCAGTCAAATGTTCCTATGAGGTCATGTAGTGGTTAAACTCTATGATTTTGCTTCTTAGTGCATGTGCTTGAGCTCACTTGCCCAACTCTTGAGATCTTATCAAGAAGCTGCTGATCACCAGTATCACGGGTTTCTATCTATTAGGAGACTGTCTTTTCCTGGCACTGGCTGTAACCAATTACTATTTTAGAGACACAGTTAACAACCACCTGACCATCACCTGATGGTTGCCTGACATTCTTGGTTGGTATTGGAGAGGGTGGTTCTCCTGCCCTGCTCATGTCTGACTACCTACTGTAACATTCAAGCGAAGAGATACTATCCTGTCTTTTCCCATTATCCCATTCATTTGGAAGTTTCTGTCCTATGCGGAAGAAGGAGGGGATGCTACATGAAAGTAGGTCAAAGAAAGAAGAACTCAGTAAAATCCAGCTTTAGCAATAAAATGCAGGAGCCAACTAAACCATCATATAAGCAGAGCCAAGTTTTGACTGCAATGTCAACCACAGACAGTAACTTTGCTGGAATGTCTAAGGGTTTCCAGTCGTCTGGTGGTGAGAGAGTCAAGTTAGGCCTAAATTTTGCCAGCTCTGATTTCTGTATTTTGAATGCGTTTCTTGGAAGTAGAATCTAATTATCTTATTTCCATGGACTATCTTCTATCAAATCACTGAAGTAACCTCTAGTTACATTTCAGTTCTAACATTTAATATATCTGGCATCTTGGTAGCCAAAAAATTGCTTTACCATATGTATTAGTCAGTTTTCACACTGCTATAAAGAACTGCCCGAGATTGGGTAATTTATAAAGGAAAGAGGTTTAACTGACTCACAGTTCAGCATGGCCTCAGAGGCCTCAGGAAACTTACAATCATGGCAGAAGGTGAAGGGGAAGCTAGGCACTTCTTCACAAGGTGGCAGGAAGGTGCCAAGGAAAGGGGAAAAGAGCCCCTTATAATGCTATCAGATCTCGTGAGAACTCACTCTCATGAGAACAGCATGGGGAAAACTGTCCCTATGATTCAGTTATTTCCACCTGGTCTCTCCCTTGATGCATGGGGATTATGAAGATTATAATTCAAAATGAGATTTGGGTGGGGACACAAAGCCTAACCTTATCACCATGTATACATATGTTTATTTATGAGGTTTATTAAGTGTTGTTTGGGTTTGAGAGTACTATTCTCTGCAAACACCGACAAATTCTGTATCAATTTAGAAATAAATAGAAGGGGCCGGGCGCGGTTGCTGATGCCTGCAATTCCAGCACTTGGGAGGCCGAGGCGGGTGGATCACTTGGGGCCAGGAGTTCAAGACCAGCCTGACCAACATGGTGAAACCCTGTCTCTACTAAATATAAAAAAATTAGCCAGGCATGGTGGTGCACCTTTACTTGCAGCTATTCGGGAGGTTGAGTTGGGAGAATAGCTTGAACTCAGGAGGTAGAGGTTAGAGTGAGCTGAGATTGTGCTGCTGCCACTGCATTCCAGCCTGGGCGATGGAGTGAGATCCTGTCTCAAAAAAAAAAAAAAAAAAAGAAAGAAAGAAAAGAAAAGAAAACGAAAAGAAAAAAAGAAAGAAATAGAAGGGCTAACTATAGATAAAATTGTAGCATTGATTTATATCTGATATAGTTAGATTAGAAAATCACTCTTGTACCCGAGACCACAACAGTTTTCTTCACATATGCAGGCACTGGAACTTACATATGTAGATAGTTGGGTTTGCAAAGCAGGCATATTCTTCATTAGTTGCCCCACCTCCGACGACACACAGAGCTCAAGAGGAAAGGCCACTTATGGTCAATAAGCATGAGCATATTGATGGTGGCCATTAGAAAAAAAAAGTGTAAATCAATGTAAGTCAGTCTCCCACTATTACACCAATCATATAAATCACTCTTCCTACTAAAGAAAACATCAAGTGAGAAGCAAGCAAAAGGTTAATGGTTTCTTTGCAAAATTATCATTTGAGTCTAAGTTCCTGTTTAATGAACTAAGTAGAAGACAGAAAGGGGGAAAGGATGGTTTCACTTACAATGGTAAGAAGGTCAATAACTTTCAGCAGATAAACTTGAATTTATACCATGAACTGAATGTTAACTTTTTTTAAATTAATGATTATAAAATCTGCATCCTACCTAATAATTGTAATAGCACTGTTCTTTGTTTCTTTCCTCAGACTTTGTGGTAGATTCATTTCTTTATTTATCAACAGATACTAGGGATACAGTGTTACCTTTGAGGAAAGCAAGATATTTCAGGAAAGAAACAAGTGAGCAAAGAGCTTCAATATACTGTGGACAGTGCTGCAACAGAGGAGAAGGATGAGAAGGCTCCAGAGGTGGTGATACTTAAAAAGAAACTTGAGGCCGGGCACAGTGGCTCACCCCTGTAATTCCAGCACTTTAGGTGGCCGAGGTGGGCGGATCACCTGAGGTCAGGAGTTAGAGATCAACCTAGCCAACAATGTGAAATCCCCACTAAAATACAAAAATTAGGCAGATGTGGTGGCAGGCGCTTGTAATCCCAGCTACTTAGGGGGCTGAGGCACAAGAATCGCTTGAACCCGGGAGACGGAGGTTGCAGTGAGCCGAAATGGCACCTTTGCACTCTAGCCAGGGAGGCAAGGGTGAAACTCCGGTCCCCATCCCCCAAAAAACTTGAAAGATGAATAGCTATTAAAGGAGCAGGCAAAGAGAGGGGAAAGCATTCGAAGCAGAGAGAGCAACATGCCTAAAGTTGACAAGTGATACTGCTTCAGGAAGCTTCAGGGAACAAGAGTGGTTTGCCTGGAAATTAAGGGACATGGGAAAGTTGGATTTCTTCATCTGCCACTTCCCTCCTAGGACAGCACTTAATACTTTGATGCAAATTACTCCTTAAACCGTCTTTCCCCTTCTAGATCAAGACAATAAAACAAATATTTTTCTTCTTGGCTTTCTTATTCTTTCGTGGCTTTCTACTACTTTCACAAAGAGGAACGTACATTCTAAGACTGTGATTGGTTTATTTGTAGCCTTTTCCTTAATGTCTGTTGGTGAGAGGTTGGTTCTTATACATTTATATTTTCTTGTGTTTAAAGAGTAAGCACAATTTTTCCATATGTATATTTTAAATTATTTACTATTGGGCCAATCCTTGGGCATATTTGCAAAAATTCTTTCTTACAACTTTTACTTGCCCAGCTACACTTTAAATTCCGTGAAATCAAAAGAGAAGTTGTCTCATTAGGAAAACACAGGTAATGATTGGACTACACTTGAGAATTCAGAATATATAAGGAAAACAGTACAAAATGTGATCATGGAAAATTAAGCGAGTGTCACCTGAGTAAGAGCCTTGAACTCTTCATAAGGAAGTCATTTGAAGGAACTAACATAATCACATTTGTGTCTTAAAAACACCTGTGGGGGATGGACTTTAAGAGGAAACATTGAAAACATGGAGACTAATTATTAAATCCTACAATATTTATGGGAATAAGTTACTAATTTTTAAGTAAAATGGGGTTAATGGGAGGAAACAAAGAGAAAGAGGAGTGGGTTTAAGAGTTGTTTAAGAGTTGTTTGGAGGTCAGTTTCACAGGATGATGTTCAAAAGATGGAGTGAATGAGGGCAGTGAAGTATAGAGATCTTTGCTGAGGTTAGAAACACAGCAGGAAAAGGAGTTGGGGCAATGAGCAAGAAAAAACACTGAATTTAATTTAATTTCAGACATTTTTAGCATTAGGCTCTACAGGACAATCAGATCACAATTCATTTGGAATATTTTCAAGGCTTATATAAAAGATATATTAGGAGTGATGTAATTATTCAAAAACTGACAAAAATTACCTCAGAAGTGGAACTGCTGTGTCAAGTGTATTTGGTGTGCAAATGTTCTCTTCTTTTGTTTTTGTTTTCAAGGAGTGTGATTATAAGTCAGTTATTTATGTGGTTTTCTTTAATCTTACTAATATGTTACCTTTACATTGGGGCAACTAAGAATAGACTAAAGGGCAATTAGAGAAATGCTTCTGCAATCAAAAGTAGGATTTCAAAAGGCTAGAGGTGGAATATAAAACAAAAAAATTCTTAGCAGAAAGATAGACTATTTCAGTCAAATCTCCTTCACTTCCCTTTCATTTGCTTACTCAGTGCCAGGATATATTTTTATTCTGTCAAATCTCATGTAATGTTTCAAACAAAACATTGTGTTCTGACACTTCAACATACATTCTACAATAAGATAAATTTTTCATAGTTAAGATCTCTGTTTTGCAGACTCCAAAATAAGAAGAATTTAAATAATAGAAGAGAAATGCATTATTAAATATATAAATCCAGAAAATGGCCAATCTCTTAAGATTTTATGAATAGTCTACTTTCACGGACTATTATCAAGAATTATCTAAGAATTACTCAAAATTAAACTGCAATTATCTACATGACTGAAGACAAAGTCTTAAAATGCTGTATTTTTCTTCAGGGCATTAAAAATTACCAACTGTATGTTCTCTGCATCTCTCTTGATTCATATAGGCAATGTCATCAACTGCTATAGGTAAGCTATTCCCATGCATTAAATATTGCATTTCCCAAAGTAATAAAATTGTATGTCACACCTTTTTCTTCCAGGTTAGGCAGATTTCATTCTTCGGATGACACTCCCAGGAGACCTCTCTTTTGGCAGTGCAAGAGAAGGATGAATTGAAGTTTATCTAAATGCCCAATAGTCTAAGAAATGGAAAATAAACAGATAAAGGCTATTACAATGTAGAATTCTATCAAAGCTATGAATTCCTAGTTAATAACTTTAAAGTTTCCTGAAGAAACTTTTGCCCTGAAAGAATAGATAGACCTCTATTCCCTATAACAGCATATAGGCTTTTTTTGGGGGCGGGGGTTGGGGATAGGATCTCACTCTCATCACCCAGGCTGGAGTGCAGCGGCACCTTCAAAGTTCACTTCAGCCTCGACCTCCAGGGCTCAGGTGATTCTCCCACCTCAGCCTCCCAAGTAGCTGGGACTACAGGTGCATGCCACCATGCTCAGTTACTTTTGTTATTGTGGTTGTTGTTAGAGATGGGATTTTACCATTCTGCCCAGGCTGGTCTCAAACTCCTGGGCTCAAGCTGTCCGCCAGCATCTGCTTCCCAAAGTGCTAGGATTACACGTGTGAGCCACTTGCCTGGTGGAGACCCAATTTACATAAATATGCTGTGTGTTGAAAACGAGCAAACAACCCGTTTTAAATGAGTATTAAATCATAGGTTCAATATAAAGTAGTGATTTGGGTGTCTCAAAACAATAATTTGCTAAGTAAGTTAATTTTGTGTTAAAATGTATATTATTTCATTAGGCATATAGAGTGATAAGTTTATTTAACTAGGCTTTAATAAAAATAACAATATACCTAAATTTTTTAGGTAATAACTTTTTAGGTAACAATAGATTTTTTTAGGTCATAATACCAAAAAAAAAAAAATCAAATGGAATAAAGGAAATTAAATAAGAATTGTCTTGCTTCCACCCTGCCACCCAGTCCTCATCTTTTATAGCTTCCCCAACTTTCTCTTCCCCAACCCACCAAGAAGAAACTACTGTTATCAGTTATGAGTGTTTTGTGTATTCTATTCAAAAAATCCTTTAGATATACAAGTTATGTTATCTATCTATCTATCTATCTATCTATCTATCTATCTATCTATAATCTTTTTAACACAAATATCCTATTCTACAGTCTAATTTTATTTGCACTTAATATACTTTAGTATCATTTCATATTAATGAATAAAGAACTACATTTTGCTTTTTATATTGCAGGCTTGGTGTTCCTCCACCATATGGATGAGCCACAATTTTATTTCATTGGATAGATTTAAAGGGTATAAGTGCAGTTTTGATACACGGATATATTGTGAAGTCTGGGCTTTTAGTGCAACCATTACCCAAATAGTGTTCGTTGCACCCATTAGGTAATTTCTTATCTCTCATTACCTCCATATCTTCCCACCTATCCGAGTGTCCAGTGTCTATTTTTGCACTATCTGTGTCCAAGTATACACATTATTTAGCTTCCACTTTTAAGTGAGAACATGCAGTATTTGACTTTCTGTTTCTGAGTTATTTAACCTAAGATGAAAATAAGCCATAATTTTAGAAATGGCTTTTTCTTAAATATTATACAAGTTTGGTTAGAAACTATGCTGGCTCTTAAAGGCTCAAGAGAAAAAACTCCACCTGCTATCAACTCAATCTCAATTCCATTGCATTTCTCGGAAGAATTTCATAAACAAAGGAAGAGTTCCCCCCAAAATGTAGGGGTCTCAGATACTTTGCTCAGCCTCAGGGAGCTTTAAAATCTTGAGAAAATAGGCTCCCAAAATACTTAGATCCTTGACATGCTAAAATAAAAAAGTCAGTAAAATTATTGATGGATATTTCTTCCATCTTAACAATCAGTACTTTCAAAATGTTTTATGTTGAACATATATTAATTCAATACTTGGTCTTTATAAACTTCATAATAAAATAAAGGACTTTAAGAAGATTGTAAAGTCAGGGAAAATTTTTGGTCAGAGGAAGTTCCTGCATTTGACCACTCACACGAGTCATAGATACCATCTGTAGGCCTCTGCCTGTTGCTTAATAAAATGGGATTCTTGAGTCAGCAAGTACATTCCTGAGATAGTCTATGGGAATTTCTTGTGTCCTTCTCAGATTCTTATTTTAAGGCCATCAGCAGGAATTATTTACCATAATGGAACTTAGGGAGAGAATTCATCTCAAAAAATTTACTCAGTTCCAAGCTTGTAATGTTGTAAATCCACAAAGTCAACACCTACTAACACAGCTCACAAAGCAATGTAAATAACAGAGTGTAGAGCCCCCACTCTTCTTAGCCATTTCATTCTCAGAAGCTCCACAAGCTGACATCCAAAGATTCAGGCTTCTCCAAGACGTCTTGGTTTAAGACATAGCCCACTCCTCAAATTTAATAAAATTTAAATTGTTTAAATTTTTAAAGTTTTTATTTAAAAAAAATTTTGACCTCTTCACTACCCCCAAATTTAGATTCTCTGTGGGACTTTGTGTTTCTCAGACAATGCTTTTCTATTTTTTTCCCTCTTTACTCATGCACTTTATCATTTAACAGCATTGTACTGAAAATATGACTAGAACTTGATAGTGTAGAACTACATTTTGAAGGGTTACAAATGAAGGAAAATAATTTAGTGTGTCTGCAAGCATACTTTTTTGGTAGAAAAAAAAATACCTAATCAAATTCAGTGTAGCTAGTACCTGAAGTGTGTCACCTTCCCAATAATACAGCCTTCCTTGTACTCCATGTTGACCCAGGATATCATAAAAGTTTCAGCCTGTGTTTCCTTCCCTTAGATGTCATTGCATGTTGACTCTACTCGAATGCTTCTCTGTCTTACAGAAAGGCCTACTGAATTCAAAGTCAGAGATGAAGACCCTTTCCCAAAGCTAGATCCTGCCTCCAGTACTTTCTGTCCACAGATCTGCTGTGTATAGGAAGTTCTCCTAATGTCCTGTACTTCTGAATTATCTGCAGTACTGCTTCACTCACTGGGCTAAACCTCCTGATATCAATCCACATATTACATTTATGGGGGCTTGCTATGCCCATTAGGTACTATGCATTGGGCCCACCAATGGGATAGTCATCAGAGGCAGCTCTGTAGCAAAATGAGTTTGCCTAGGTCCTTCCCCACTTTAAAGATAAGTCTTTGGCTGGAACTTAGTTACCCTTTTCTTAACAGCTTGCATTGTTCCAGTTGTAGCATATTTCATTCCTGAATCTACCTGAGTTACCAAAATAATATTTGAGGAAATCCTTCATAACAACTAAGTCTTCCTTTTCTAGCCAGGTACTCATAACCTCAGCTGGCAGTATTACAGTTGATAAAGCCATGTTCTCAAGAAAGATATTCTTGATTCCCCCAAGACAGGACTGACTGCCTATACTCTTTCTGTCATAATACCTTCTATTTACACCAATAAGCACTTTTCATATTATATTGTAATTGACTGTCAAAAATTGTGCACTGTTCACCATTATCATAGTCCAGTGTCAAACACATTGCCTGGCATGAAAAAGTGCTCTGTAAATATCTGCCAAATAAGTAAAGAATGAAAGTTGGAGCCTAAGGAGAAAGAACGATCATAGAGCAAGCAGAGAGCAACAGAGATGCAACATAATCGCCACTGATAATTTCTCCAAAAGGGTGTTTGTTTTAGAAGTTAATCTGGCAGATAACCATGAGGAAACCTTGTATAAACTTGTCCATATATGGCAATATAATAAGTGGTAATGAGTGAAATGGATTCTGAACTAAAGAACAGGGTAATTTTTGAGAGAAAAATGTGTTATGAAGAACAGTTGGGGAAGGAATATAAATGCATTTTATCACAGATTGTTTCATAGGCACTAACATGCAACATGGCAAAATGATGTTAAAAGAATAGATAATCCTATGTGCTCTGTGTGCGTTTCTTTTTAAAGTAATGGCTTTAATGAAAACAACTATGATACAATGTTAGCTGGAAACCAATGATGTAAAAATGCATACATGATACAACAGCACAACTGCAAAAAAAAACATGTGGGGTGAAAAAGAAAAGAAAAGTCTCAAAAGAGCAACAGAATATGTGTTTGTTGAAAGAGTTATGGGTGAAGTATTATACTTTTTTAGTATTTTCCAAAATCTTATTTAATAAATGTATATTACTGTAATCATTTACAGTTTCTATTCTTTTTTAACATAGATTAATTTATTGAACATAAAAATGTAGTTCCCATAGCAACTGGACAGGTTGCAAATCTGTTTCCTTGAGTAAATATAACATTAACCATTAACTCTTTCAAAACAATATGGCAGTGGAACTCATCCTGAAATAGTTGTTAGTGCCAAAACCAATCGTATCACCATGCCTTTAAGATGAGCACTATTTTCAAAGAAAAATATTTTAATATTTTAAGATACACGAAGACAGAGGTTGGCATTTTTCACTTCTCTATAACCAGTGTCTCCAAGAAGTAAGAGTACCCAAACATGTTGAATAATGATCCTTATCTATCCTTTTCCATCTACAAATGCACAATCATGTGTGCATATGTATAAACACATAACACAGACACACATATGTCAAGGGTCATATATGAGTCCAGAGCTAGTTCTGAAAAAGGGAAAAGTACATGAATGAGGTTTAATTGGGCAAATAAACTATACAATCTCTATAAGCAGACTCTGTATAGGGGTCAAATAGAAGATTAAACAATATATCTGTGAACATATTTATGTGCATATGTATGAAATGTACACATACATGTACACTTGCATTCAAGGATCTAAGTATATCATAAAATATATCAGATTAATTATTTCTTTACTTTTATTTTTTAAATAGTAGGGAAACTGAGATACTTGGTACTAGCACAACTTTTACAGTTTAAATTATATCCATCTTACTTTTAATAATAGGATTACAGAAGTTTTAAAATCAAATTATAAGCATTTGTATAAATAAAATAGCTATTGTCTCTGGTCATAATATCGTAACTAAAGTCACAGAGAATATGACTTTAGGCAAATGTCAATTGAAAGATGGTTCAACTTACATTAACAGAATACTGACCACCAGAAAAATGAGTAGAACATCAATTACTAGAACATCCCTCCTTTTAATTCATTTTTAAATTGTAAATA